TTTTAGGGTCATTTGGTAGGATATATTAAGGAAAATAATACATGTATTAGTTTTGATATTATTAATTCCTTGTTTGATAGTGTTTTTCAATCTATAGTATAACTAATATATATATTAATTATATATCATATTCAATACTATTCTTATAAATTATAATATTATAATTTTTACGTAATATATAAAATAAAAATAAAATTACCCTTTCAAAACCTTTTTCAACTCGCGTGGAATGCATTTTTGTAACAAAAAAAATGTTTAAAAAAAATTATGCAATGAGTATTTAAGAGGCGCAGGAGTAGGAGGTGGGTCATGTTCCCATAAAACAATGTGCGCGTCAAAGGCAAACCATGTCACTATAATTACGTCGGCCTTCAGCCATGTCAGCTTGTCTTTGTAGTTTCATCAGTTCAACTACTGAATATTTTTATATTAATTCTTTTTTGCTACTACTCTCTCCTCGGATAAATCTTTAGACATCGTACTCTGTTTATTACCCCAACACATGAATTTGCCAGCTATTTCATATGCGCATGCCAACTCAGATTTCACTGTATCATTATTCATTACTCACTTTCCCCTTTTTCCTTTTTCTTTTACATGTTTGACAGTAATTTATCTTAATTATTTATTTTCCTTATTTCCTTGCTCTCATTTATGTGACCGGACTTAGGAGTATCATTTACTTTGACATGGAACTACTGTAATTAATTTATATCTTTCAAACGAAGCATAAAATGTTATATATTCCCCTGTTTTAATTTATAGAAAATTATATAAGATGATATACCAACAGATTACTGTCAAATATTTTGGATTATTTCAAATAAAACCAACCTCATATAAACTGAAACAAATGAAATATTATCCTACCCTTTTGACCGGTCAACTGACCCAAAATGTTAACATTTGACTCAAGTTTAGCTTTCTATTTGGAGTTTAGTCTACTTGCACTTTATAATTAGGTACTAAGCGATAGTTTGATTGAGAAACAAATTATATTATAATTAATTATTTCTGAATTAAATATTCTAGAATTAGTTATCTCACCTTCCCATAAGATAAGAAACACTATAATTCCGGAATTAGTTATCAAAAAAAACTTTTCAATCAAACATTAATAAACTCGACTCAAATTTAATTTCAAAATTAATTATACTTTATACCTAGCACGGAACTAGCCCTAATATACTCTATTGGTACAGCATTTTTTTTCTTGAAGTTTAGGACAAAAAAGTTGGAGGTAAGAACCTTTCCGTTAGATCTTTTATTTTGATTGATGAGGCGTTTGAACGTTATTATCAGAAGAAATCTAAAGATTACATTGCTCTTTCAAAAAGCAAAAAAAGAAAGAAAAAAAGCAAAAAAGGTTTCCTTCTAAAGCCACCAAAATAAAATCCCATACTTCCTCTCTCACGCTTTGTTCCCAAACATACCAGATCCCCCGCCACCATTTACGCCTAAATGGACCCACCTCCGCCGGCTCCGCCGTCTACCACCACGGATTCCCTCTTGGACCTGCCACCTCTTCCCACTTCCACCGCCAAGGTCCGCCTTTTATGCAGCTACGGTGGACATATAGTTCAACGTCCCCACGATAAATCCCTCTGCTACGCCGGCGGTGACAACCGTGTCGTCTCTGTTGACCGTCGTACCACCGCCGCGTCCCTATCCGCCCTTACTGCCCATCTTTCCCGTTCCCTTTACGGCAACCGTCCGTTTTATCTCAAATACCAGCTCCCTAACGAGGAACTTGACTCTCTTATCTCTGTCACAACCGATGAGGACTTACAGAACATGCTTGAAGAACACGATAGGATCACCTGTGCCTCTGTTACATCTTCCCGTATCAGATTATTTCTCTTTCCTGTAAAGCCTGAATCCTTAGGCTCGGCTTTACTTGATTCCAAAGCGGATTCTTGGTTTTCCGATGCTTTGAATAATACCCGGATTGCTAGAAGGGGCCAATCGACTGATTCGGGTTTTGTGAATGAGCTTATCGGGTTTGAAAATATGGGTGGGTCTAATTCTGCAGAGGGTCAGAGTGAAAATATGAGTGCCAAGCAAGGATTGGAGTTTGGGGGTGGTTCAGTGCCCGAGTCTTTGGTTTTGGAGACTAGCTCATCTTTTGGTTCGACCAGTTCTTCCATTTCAATGTCTAATTTGCCTGCTATTGGAGTTCAATCAGAGGATGGTGGTGCCAATTTGCAGGACAAAAGGGTTAGAGTGCCCTCATCAGCTTCATTAGAGAGGTATTACTCTTTTCCTTTTCTTTTTTCTTTTCGATGTTAGCTTGTTATGCTATTGGAATCATTGAGAGTATGTAGGTTAACAAAAGTTTAGATCTTTGGTTGACCTAGTGGTCTGATGGACTGAATTTTGCGCCCAATACATGTGATGTATGAGTAGTCTCGTTTCGGTTGAGTTCTACTTTGCCCGGTGAAAATTGAGGAGATGTGATGCGATGGATGGAATCCCTCCACCCTTAACCAAACCCTTGGAATGGAGTAATTCCTGGTAGGAAATGCTTCCCCCTAATAATTAGCGGGCAAATCCGGATTAGTCGGGCCAATGGTACCAGATAAGAGATAATAAGGTGCTGAGAAACATATTGATTTATATTTTTGACTTACTAGTCATCCCTTTCTCCCAACAAGAGAAATAGAAATAAAAAAACTCCCGGTGAATGCTTTGGCGTGTAATCTAGGCTGACAGGCTGCTTGTGTGGTTACTGTAGTCGTATGAGTTGACAGTCTGCACTTCCCTGAATTGCATTCAATCTATTCACTCTAATAAGTCTTAGTATTTTCCTCTTTATTACTCCAATTAAGGGACTTGTAACGTTCTCTTGAGCTTTTGAATCTATCTGCTCAAGACAGTGGTGGCTTTTTATTGATTTCTTACTGGGAATACACTAATGAAAAGAGGAAACAAAGAGAAGGCAATAGTCTTCAATTCGGAATCTAGATCACCCGGGACCTAACACGGGAAATAAGATGCATGGATTTATTTGGATCTGGATCCATATTCCTTACCTTCAGTTATACTGATTGCCTCTAAATCTGTACTTATGGGCTTCATATATGGTTTATTTCCACAGTGATAACGGTGTTGGAAGTACTGGTTTTCAACCTAAAGTTGGAATTCATCAAGAGCAACTCGTTCAAGTGGTGTCCACTATGGCCTCACACAGTCTTATTGAAGTAGAAGGCTCCATGGCAAATCCCTCTCTCATTCAGACGCCAAACATGGTTCAGGTTTCTGGATATCAGCTACCTCAGACATTGGATGGTAAGCAGCCCCAACAAGGCATGCAATATGTTCATGGTGGTGCCTGTTATGTACCTCACTATCCTAGTGGTCCATTGCCAGTATCATCCTGTTATCCGTTTTATCAGCTTCCCATGCAGCAGCCGCAACAAAGTCCTTATCCATTGAATCAACAATACCCAATATACTTAGTTCCTGTGCAGCCAATGCAATCCCAGAGTATGCCGGTGCAGCCAAACATTAATCATACAGCAGTGATTGCCCCCAGTCGGCCCCCCTTGCATCGGCAAAGTGTCATGACCCCTCCATCAATAGTTTATAAGGAGGTTATGACGGCTCAATCGGGTTCTAAAGTTTATACGACAGCCCCAGCAGCAACACCACCCATTAGTGCACCTTCTCAGACTCAGCAACACTATACTGCCCCTTCTGAGCCACAGCTTAGTTCCCAACCTATCTTAACTGCATCAGTTCCTGCTGCAAATGATGCAAATGAGATTGAGGATGATCTTGCATACAGTCAGATATATAAATCTCAGCCTCCTCCACCTGCGTTCATTTCCCAGTGTCAAACCATTACAAAGGGGGCAACAGTATTACTTTCAGAGTCTTCAATGCAGCTGCACAGTAACAATGTGATGAACCAGGCACCATCACATCCTCAGTGAGGCTGTGAAAAGAAGAACAAAAGTTTTGATAGTGGTTCATCTTTTCTTATAGTTCACAACTTTTAAAATCTATTCTTTCATCTTGTTTGAGGCACATAAACCATAAGCTTTTCTTGTGCAATTTGTTTGTCTCTTTATATAATATTTGGTAGAACTTCCCCATACACCGAGCGCATCCCAACCAAAAAAAGAAAGAAAAAGAAAAAAAGGAAATTTAGAAATTGGTGAAGACTGAAAGTTTTGGTTTGTATGTGTCATGATATACGTTATTACAGTGTTTTTTTACCATCGGTATTTTGTCTGATAATGGGTAACTTTGTACTCTCAACTGTTGTGTGCTAAATGAATAGCCATCTGATAAATTGAGTTGTTTCCTGATTAATGTCTCTAAGAATGGTTAGAGTGTTAAGCGTAGTTCTATGTGGACCGGAACCTTAATGTGGTGCTCTTATTCAGGAATATAGTTGCATTGAGTTCATTATTGTTTCTTATTGTATTCCTTTTTGCAAGTTGTTTACCTCAGTAGATTCAGTGCAAAACCTAATGATACTATTCTGTAGTTCAGAACTAAAAAATTTATTGTTCTTTAAAAGGCCGACTAACTCCTCATCTACAAGCCCCAGCAGGCAAGGAGATGAACTGTTACGTTTAAAACCTTAGTTTCCATGCCCTGGAAATGGGAGTCTGCTTGTGGATCTCTCTTTCTCCTGTATTAGGTGTTTTCTCACCCTGCTGTTGAAGGCTTGCCTTTGGACAAGATGCAGGTCATTGCACAGAAGCATGGTTTGGTTGAGTTGTGTGTGAAATATTCCTCCTTTTGAGATAACTGTCTGTGCTGTGTATCACGAGAACAAGAGGGCATATATGACAGAGGACATATATTCAAGGGTGTATGAGTAAAGAAAGTGTTTACTTGCAAAATTCATCTTTTATAAAACGGTTCAGAAGTTGAAGCAGGCTTCTTAAGATCACTGAAGCAATATCAGAGGGTTGCGAATGGCGCACCACTGACCACACTGCTGGCTTCGAGGAACTTTGCTGCAATATAACGACAACTTTCCCTGGTGGATTTAAACTAAAATCTGCATTTTTGTCCAAATGATGGTAACAACAGTAAAACAAGTAAAATTGGGTGATGTCGGTTTCAATGTAAAGACTGAAGTTTCACTGTCTTGGAGCTAATTCCCTAAGGGCCTTCTCATGTGAATTTCCTTGAGAGTGTCCTCCTTAGTATCGCTCTGACTAAATCAGGACGAACAAGCCATCCATCAGAGAAGACATTCAGAGACTAAAAACAGAAGGATTTAGTGGGACATAATCTCATGCATCAGAAAACTTTGGCAAATATTTGCAGCTGCAATAATATAGCTTACAGGCTCTCTTCATTGCTCTTGCTATTAAATAACTTAGCTATGTTTGGCATTACCTTTCTTCTTCTCCTAACCGCAAAGGAAGCCGCTCTAGATGTTCGAGGTGCAGGAGATGTTGACTTTCTGAACTTAGCTCGTCTTGCTGGTGTCATTTTTCCACTTATTGAGGTGGAGTTTGTACGTAAACCGTTCTGAGATTGTTCCAGGTTTGTTTCATTTATCTCCTCCCATTTCTGCAACTGCATATCAACCAATATCTTTGCAGAAGGTGAATACTCCATTTTTGGGCCATTTTGCTCTTCTTCCATCTTAAGCTCTCGGATTTCCTCTCTGGTGACCTCTGTCTTCAGTGAGATCTCCTTTTCACTGGCTTGCAAAGCTTTTATCCAAGCCTGAGCTGCTGCTACTTTTTTATCAGCAATTTCAACTGCCTGTGCTGCACGTCCCGTTAAGTACTCATACTCAAATCTTGAAATAGTTATTGAGCTTCCCCTTGAAGCTGATGCCCTACTTTTCATTGTAATCTCAACAAGCCTCTTTAGATTGTTTAGGACAGTAGCTTCTGATAATTTGATGGTTTCAAGCTCTTGTAGTGCAGCTTCCCATTTTTCCTCGGCCAAGAGTGTTTCAGATTCTGTTTTCTGAATTTCTTCTTTCACTTTTGCAGCTTCCTCAGTTGCTGTCACCCTTTCTTTCTCAGCTTCTTCAGTTTCATTTCTCAACTGTTCTAGAGTGAGGGATAAACTTGAAGCAATAGAGCTTGCTTTTCCTTCATTGTCTGATGCAGCTTCCAGTTTAGCCTTTGCCCTCAGAAGCTTCGCGTTCAGGTTCTGAATCGTCAAGTCGGCTTTGTTTCCTTTTTTCTTTAATCGAGCTGATTCCTCAGAGATGCGGTCGAGCTCATTCCTCACGATGTCCATTGAAGCCATGAACTCAAAGCTGCCTCTTTTAACGGAAGCTAATTCCTTCTTTGCTGTCTCCAAGTCTTCTTTCAATGACTGCAACAAAGATAAGTCTTTTTCCAGGAAATCAGGTTGGATAATCAAGCTCTCGTCTTTCTGAATCCATCTGTCCATTTCCTTTACTTGCTTCAATTCACTTTCCAAAACTTGGACATCTGAAGTTGTCAAGGCCAGTTTTTCTTGTAGCTCTTGTGATCTCTGAATTTCTTGGACCGTGTCATTCATTTTCTTCCTGTTCTCCTCCATTGCTGCTGAATGTTTCTCTGCGTCTTCCCTTCTTTGAGCTTCAATTGCTCTGAATTCTTTAATGGCCTCTATTCGAGCCAACTCAACTAGCACAAGCTCTTCGTTAAGTTCCTCAACCTCCTTCCTTAATGCATCTACTTTGCTTGAAAAAGATTGCATTTTCAAACTAGAGGCTTCTATTTCTTGCTCTGCTCTTCTTTTTTCCTCTAACATGGAAGCCATATCTTGTTTAAGCTTAATCAGTTGTTCTTTTGCATTTCCCAACTCTGTTGTTACTTTGGAATTCTGAGGGTTGCTAATAGCCATACCCCAAATTCCTCCTCTTTTTGCCGTCTTTAGTTTCTCCAAGTCTTTATTCCTGTCATTTAGTCTTGAATTTAACTCTTCTATCCGTGAAGTTAGCTCTTTCACCATCTTTTTCGCGTCCAAAAGTTCAGATTCTGCTTGGGATTTTTCTGCCTCTGCAACTTTTCTGCTCTCACCGAGTCGCCCCATGTCCCTTCTTGCTATGTGAAGTTGGCTCGTTCTTGGATATGGCTTCTGATAAGATTATGCAAGATTAAGGTTAGTTCACCAAGAAAGACTCAAATGATGCTGAAAGGTGAATGAAAATTGGGTGAAAATATGTCGTCTACCTCTAAAGACTTCATAATTGAGGATTGGTTCTGTGCAGATTTTCCTTCAAGAACCTTTCCTTTGTACAAATTAATGGCTGCTTTAACAGACCCTAAGGTCTCTTCCATGGAATTCTTGTCCTTCCCTATTCAACTTCTCGACAATTTGCATCAGCAGAGAACTCCCACCTTAGATGAAGCTCTGGCTATGCAATATAACAAGGAGAGAGTAACATCAGAGCATGTTTTACCTGGAAATAGTTGATGGAAAAGACATCAGAAAATGGTTTATCAGGTGAGATGCTGTAATTGCCAGTTTGGAACAGGTGTTATGAGCTCCATAAAAAACCCATGAAATAAAAGAAAAAATAAGAAGATGGATAAAGCTGTTGATGATTGGCTGCTGTTACAAGCAGGAATCTTGTCTTTTCCCAACAACCAATCCACTGGCACGAAATGATATTAACTTTTTTAAATCTTTTTTTCTTCTTTTCTTTTTATAACCCTTTTACCCAAATCTTTTTTTCTCTTTTCTTTTCTTGTTTTTCTAGTCGTGGTGTTTGTCTTGTCACGTAATCCTTGCCTTGCTGCACGTCAAAAGTCCACAGGAAGATGATTGACTCTTCTTTACTAGATACGTGCCCACATAATTTTATTTCTCATAATTTGAAAGTCTCTTTATAGCTAACTAATGTACGTGTTTGCAATAAATTCGTGTAGAACAATAAAATTGCAATCACAAATAATTATAAATAAAAAATAATTTTATTGATAAATATTGAGGGTTCAACTCTGTTTATTTCTTAATTCTTTCTTCCGATTTGTTATCCGTAATTTGAGGGCCTTAGCGGCGTATTCCTTGAACGTAGGATGATATGCATCTCCTCGATCTATTTGATTATCAAGAAGCATGTAGCAGCACTCCATTCGGATCTTGAATGTTGCTAGAACTTTGAGTAAGACATATTTGACATGTTGCAGCATGACATATTTGGATAGTATATTTGATCTCTTTGTGCATATTCCGAGAGTTGTAATTGTTGAGATGATCTCCATTTTTTAAGATATTCTTTAAGGGAATATGTAACCCTTTTTATAAGAGTGACCTAGGGTTAGGGTAGAGTAACCTCCAAGTAATCCTAATAGACTCCTAAAATTTCAAGAGTCGTCTTGTAGTATCTTGAATTTAGTATTTAAGTTGATCCGTTAAAATTTTGATGTCTACGGTACGTACGTATATACTCTTGAGCTATCAAAACTACTCCAGAAGTCCTTTTCAAAATTTCTAAACTAAACAGCTTTTCAAGTGGTGTTTGGCTGAAAGTATTTCTTCAAAAAAATTGAAGAAAAAAAAAACGACCATTTCCCTCAACAATTTTAACAGATGCCACAAATAAGAAGTTGGGCGAGATTTAAGAAGCAGGGGACCAATGTTTCAAGGCAGAACAAATGCATTTGCTACTATTCAAATATTAAGGTGCATGAGTGGCCACATCGTTAGATCCTAAACCATATGGATAAAGAAGATACTTCCTGCGCATCATTTTATGAGAGGACAGTCCGGTTTCATGCATCGTTCCGGAAAGGGCCACACTCCAAATGGATGTGATATAGACAGTCTACCTTAATACAATCATCAATGACTGACTCCACGGCTCGAACATGTGACTTATAGATCACACAAAAACAACTTTATCGTTACTCCAAAATTCCCCTTCCTCCGTATTATTTTATATGACGGTGTTTGATTGGACTCTAAAATTAAGAACTAAAAAAAGACTTTGGTGTATATCAAAAATACACATTTTTATGGCTAAATAAGAACATATGATTTAGAATAAAATGAAAATTTTAAAATCAAAGAATTTTCAAATTAAAAAAAGTGTCATTCTTTTTTTATCGGACTAAACAAAAGGTATAACATAAAATGAAACAGAGGAGTACTCAATTTTATATTTCAATGTCCTAACACTACATTTGATCGTGGAACATAGGGCGTGCTCGATTTACACTTTAATGTCCCAACACTACATTTGATCTTGATTAATGGCATTCTTGCCGAATTTAAGGCAAAAGAAAACACAAAAAAGAAAAAATGATAGGTATATCACCGTGTATTTATCAAAAATTGAAAAAGAAAACTAAAGTTGGCTAAAAAGAGAGTATCCCTCAATTAATATTAAAGTAGCAGTCCCATTGAGATATTTACTTTAGCTTATTCTCGGTGGCTGCTGCATACATTATGTAATTCGAGACCTTTATAATTTCTTGGTGTTTTTCCTTCTCAGACTAGAGGATAAATCAAGAAGGATTATTATAATTCAGCGATATTGAAGTAAAGCATGTTCTGGCCTATTAATTTCAGCTGTTTATTACCTACTAAGATTCTTGTGACATAAAATACTTGTCAATATACTAAAATACAAAAGGTTGTCCGTTCCATTTTATAAGCCAAAGTTAGGAAAGGTAGTCTATCTGATGGTATTGGCTTCACTTGGAAACTACAGAAAAGATAGGAAGAGGATGATAAGATTTGGGGATAGGATTTTAGGAATGAGGACTAGAAATATATACATGCTGAACTTTCCTTTAACTTTGTACCTTGCAAATAATAAGAAATACCCCCCACAATAATTATGTTTCCTTTGGAGTATCCTGTACCTTTTAATAATTCCTGCTAATAGTAATCATAAAAGTAGAATAAGAGCTTTTTCCGAAGTCTCCTCCCCTAATAGTAACAAATTTGTTTCTGTATTATTCACATACCATTTTATTTGGAGCCAAAAATGAGATAACCTTATCAGCGGGCGTAAAAGGAAACTTTAATGGGTAAAATTTATCGGCACTTAATATTTATATCAATAATAACAAATCCTGTAATCCTAAAAATGTGTTTTAGGGAAGGTAATGTGTACGTAGTCTTTATCCCTACCTAACGAAGATAGAGAATTTGTTTCCGATGGACCCCTGACTCAAGTAAAAATGAAAAAGAAGCAATAACAGTAAGCAATAAAACCAACAAGATAGTAAAACATCGAAGCAAAAGAAACAACACCAATATTAAGAAGATCAACATACATTAATAGAAAACAAAAAATAAAAAAATACATGGCTAACACTAGTATTACTGTAATGCTCGACTAACTACTAACCTTATATCCTAATTCTAGACATCCACGCCCCTCCTGTCAAGTATAAACTGATGTAACGCTATTTCCTACCTAATCACCTTACCCCGATACTTCTTTGGTCTATCTCTACCTTTCCTGCCTAATTATGTCAAATTATTTTAATTCATCATAATGGAGTCATAAATTAAAGTAAACAAATATATTAGTATAATTTAGTGATTAGAATGTATATGACCAAAATCTTAATTTGTTTTTGAGAAAACGTTGACTGCTGACATCTGAAACTGCAGCAGATCTAATGAAACGCACATGGGTTCCTCGTAAATTTCTGCATTCTTTTTTTTTAAATTTATTTCTTTTTAGAGATCTCACAGATTAATCCACGGTTCTCAAGCCAAATCACGTGACTGTTCACAACAGTGGATTGACGGCCCTTTCTACAGTTTCTCGCACCGCACCGTAACTTGTCCTTCCCTCCACCGATGTCATTGTTTGAAACGAAATGTTGAATTACAGTTGAAGATCAAATGGACGTGGAGAAATCGTCCCTGTGCAATTGCGTGGTGAATTTTCTGTTGGAAGAGAACTACTTGTTAACGGCATTCGAGCTTCTTCACGAGCTTCTAGATGATGGCCGTGACGATCAAGCAATTCGTCTCAAACAGTTTTTCTCCGATCCTTCGCAATTCCCTCCCGATCAGATCTCCCGCTTCAATTCCCTCAGAGGTTTGCCGCTTCTCTACCTTGCCTTTATTTGCTAAACGCACATATCAATAAAATCCGCTGTGTTTATGCACATTTTCTGCATTTGGAATTTATTGCGATAAATATTTAGCAAAATCGAGCGAATCAATCCGTTAAGATTAGGTTATGAAGTTGAGTTTTCTTGTGTTACGACTGAGGAATTTCATGGTATATAAGAGCAAAGGGAGTATCTGAAATAAGTTGATTAATATCAAGTAATTTGTTCTTTTTCATTTTGGCCAGTGTTCAGTTGTAATAACTACAACTTTACTTTAATTTTGCTCATGGTCCTTAGTTCATTATGCAGGACGATCAATTGCCTGATTGTTTGAATCAGCTTTTTAGTTGCAGGCTCATATATTTTTTTTATATGAATAGTAACTATTCATTTATCAAAGCAGTTGCAGATCCCCAAAGTTTGCTTGAAGAAAAAGAAGCCCTGGAAGAAAAGTTGGCGCTCTGTGAATATGAGTTCCGTTTGGCTAAAGAGGACATTGTGCAACTTAAGACCGAGTTGCAAAAGAAAAGTCAGACTTTTCCTCGTCAAACAAGTGGTACATCCCTGAAACTGTTTTGCACTTTCGCTGCCTCTTCTGATTGTGACTTTGTTAGCTTTAGCTCGTTCATTCTGATAATGTTCTTGGAACTGCGAATCCTAGTTTAGCCTGGATATTCTGTTTCTCAGTGAAGTTGTATGATTAGGCAGATTTAGAATGGATGCCAGGATAAACTGTAGGCTTGTCATGTCTGAACCTAAAGTAGTTTCTTGAAGGACTGGTGGTTATGCTTTAAATATTACTTTTTGTTAACCGAGAAATCCCCAGGGGCCAGCTGGCACACGGTTTGAAATTTGGTGGATGATGGGCTCGCCTTCTCCACTTAAATACTAGGCTTTTGTGTGTGACAGGAGGCCTAGGGCCAGTGTTTCTGCTTTAGATATGGGTTATATTTTGTTTCATTCAGTATGATCATTTTGTTCATGCGAATTTATCTGTTTCTTCATTGTGCAGATTCAAAGATAGATGCTTCGGAAAACCATGGAACTGATTTTCAGCAGCAGAAGAGGGAAGGTTCTTTCTCTGATTTGGGTCCTTTGAAGGATAATGAGCGGAGGGATTTGAACTGTGCTGTAAAGGAGTATTTACTATTAGCAGGATATCGCTTGACTGCAATGACATTTTTGGAGGAGGTAACTGATATGAAGACAACTTGCTTATTTCTTGATGTTCATCACACTACTGAAGGAGGTTGCATTTATCTACATTATGTCACAGAGCTGTATTTTTAGTTATCTACATCTTCTTGTTCCTTCTTTCCACCTTTTTGGTTTATTATCTGCGGAGGACCTAAAATATTTGGAGCTTCATTTATGTTAAACATATATGCTGCAGGTGACGTCTCAATGAAATACAAGTACCAATCAAACTCTAGTTAACTTAGAAACGATCATCCAAATTACATGTTCTCGGCAGACCTTCAAGTAGTGTGGCCTCTTTCCTGCATTTATGTTAAATGTGAAGATAGTAAGTAGAACTGTGACCTTTTAAATACAACTGGCTATATCCCCAGGGGCTTGCCTTAGAATTCGGCTGACCAGATTTTCTTTAGGTTTATTTTGGAGCACACATAATATTCCAACATGTATAGATAATTGGGTAGAATTTATTGAAAACTTCTCTCAGAAGATAGAATTTTCACTTTTTTTTTTCCAGTAAAGGTATAAAAATAAGTTAAAATTTGCTGGTCTAGGGGACTACCACTTAGATGTAGATAATGTTTTTTTTGCCGAAGGCTGGAACTGAACTCGTGACCACAAAGACTAGGCCACCATTCCACCTACCACCTAACCAATGCACCAACCAACACTTTGTTAGGTGTAGACGATGTTATATCTCACAATTACAAGGGAAATAACTGATTGGCTATGAAAAGATGCCAAGATAATCAAAGCTTCCCAAGATAGGAAGGTAAAATGATTGGTTTTATATAAGCACCATATTTCCTTTTGTTTAATTTTATTTATTCAGACTGCGATTACATAGAGATTAAAATTAACTTTGTAATCACCTTTGCTTCCGGCTATCGAACCAGGCATAAGTTAAGTTTTAACTTAAAATGTCACATAATAATATGATGAATACCACTTCTATGATAGAAGTAGAACTGCCAAAAGATAATCTGAATTATTCCATAGATCCTTCTAGTGCACTGGGAGCCCGGTGAGCTAAGCTCCCTCTATGTGGGGGTGGGGGAAGGGCTAGACCACATTTTGTCTTATGTACACAACCTTACCTTGTTATTCATACATCTTGAAACCTTGACCTCCTGGTCACATGATAACAACTCTTACCATGCACAAGGCTCCTCTTCCACATTCTCAAAGGTTAACCAAAAAGATTAAAAGAACCTTAAGAATTAAGAGCAACAGGTGTACGTGATTGAGAACAACAAGTTACTTGTTCATCCATTTTATCCCTGTGGAACTCAAGTAAATGTTTTTTTGTTTTGATAAAGAAACTCAAGTAGATATTATTAAATAGAATAAGAACATACACCAGATCACCAGATCATTTATCAAAAGAAGAAAAACACTAAGTCGAATGCCAGACCCTAGAAGATCGGTAACTCCTTTTATAATTAATCCGAGCAAAGAAAGTTTAATCATTATTGTGTATGATTACTTCCCGTGGAACTAATCATACACCAGATCATTTATCAAAAGAAGAATAAACACCAGGTCAAATGCCAGACCCTAGAAGATTGGTAACTCCTCTTAATTTTAATCCGAGCAAAGAAAATTTATTCATTAATTCATTATTGTGTATGATGCTTTCAGTGAAACTCTTGGCTAAAAAGAGGAAAAGCAGATCTTTCTCTGACTGAGGAATTTCTTAGACCACTCCCCTCTTAATTCGCTTGGTCTCTAGGATCTATGTTTTGCTTTCGCAGATTGTGTGATTAGAGAAAATGAGGACCAGAGGGCATTGGCTTCAATCTTTTAGTTCCACACCAGTAGCTACACAGAGAGAGAGAGAGAGAGAGAGAGAGAGAGAGAGAGAGCGCTTAACTCTTTATGTTATATCCATGCTTACGTGTCCAATGAGATATGGGATGTTGTTGGAAATGCTTTAGGGATTAGATTGTTGAGGAGTTGGAATTCTGCAAGATGTGTTAGTGTCCCACATCGGCTATGTGTGGGTGTTTGGTCTCTTTATATAGTCTTGGGCAATCCTCACCTCTTGAGCTAACTTTTGGGGTTGAGTTAGGCCCAAGGTCCATTTCTTTATCATGGTATCATAGCCAGGCCCACCTAATTCTCGTTTCATCCGATGTTGGGCGCCCATCTTATATTGTTCCCGCTCTAGATGTCCAGTCCTAGGCGTGCGGGGGGGTTAATGTCCCACATCGGCTATGGGTGGGGGTGTTTGGTCTCTTTATATGGTCTTGGGCAATCCTCACCGCTTGAGCTAACTTTGGGGTTGAGTTAGACCCAAGGTCCATTTCTTTATCAATATGAGAAAAATGTAGAGGCAAGAGTTCATTCTGTAATCAGATAAGGAAAATTTATTCCTTGTGTACTAAAGACCACACACTTTTCATTCAACTGTGAAATATTCAGTGAACCTTGATCTCAACTCGTTGGTTATCTCAGAAGATGGAGCAATCTTTAGAAATTCTGGGTTAGAGGTAATTAAAAGCATTTTTGGGACAGAATTCCAGTAAGATAGCTGTTTTGTCAATGTTCAAAATTTTGGTTACTACTCAAAAATTCTTCGTAGCATCTTCTGAATGCCAGTCCATGGAAATCTCATGCTGGAATGAGCTAAAGCTTGGTTTATAAACTTGGTAATTCAGGAAAGGGCCTCCATCTCCTTCCATTAGTTTGGGGTTTAAGCCACCCAGGGAGCAAAGTGGGAAAAGCCCACTGTTCGGCTCCTGGGAAGAGGAGTTTAGGCGGAGGGGTAGGATTTGACACACACCAAAAGGAAAAAAAAAGGTATTCTGGCACGGTTTGAAATGTGTAATGTGTTTTCTATTATTTTATCTTCATCTTTCAGAGGCCTTTCATGTATTACCACTCATCTATTTTATGCACTTACTAGGCAGAGGGCCTTAACCATAGAAGAATTAAGGTGTGAGACACATGCATCTGTCCTGTGCGCTCTGCCAACATGTCATTTTGGAAGTCTTCATAACTTCTTTAATATGTATGACAGGTTACTGATCAAGATCTAGATGTTCAGCAGAACTCCTCCGCAGGCGTTCCAGATGCTTTGCGCCATTACTATTACCAGTACCTTTCTTCCACCTCAGAGGCTGCTGAGGTACTTTCTCAACTGTTGATAGTATGGACAAGTTTTATACATGTATGCTTATCCCGAATTGCCTGTAGGAAACCTACGTTAATCATGTCATGTGGATAACTTTGCATCTTGTATAGTCAAGCTAGGTTAACTACAAGTTGTAACTGATATACTATATTCTTTCTTCTTCCGGCAATTATAATTCTCAATTTCTCGTGATTTAATTCTGCAAGAACAATACGTCCACCCAGTTGTTCATAGTGTATTCAGGTATTAATATTTTTCCTTGCAAGTCCTGGTTTTGTTTATGCTCTATGCTGCTCTTTGTTCTATGTTCCTCATGGCCAGTTCATACCTTAGTTTCATCCAGACAGATTTTGTTTGTAGTTCCATTTATCTTGTCTGCTATTTGAGTCCTTCAGATAATGTTTGGTGTCAAATTTGTATGCCTTCAGATTTAAGATTAGTCTAATATTTAACTTATCTCTTTTCCTTTTTTTTTTTGAGTTATGATTCCATTTTCAGACTACAAGTGTAACTCAAAAGGCATAGAAATTTGTCACTGCAGTAATTTCAGTTTGTTTTGTTTGAATAACTGCAGCTTCTTGAATAACAAGGCTTGTAAATCTACAGTTCTCTTTGCCGTATCCAGGGCTGATTTACTGTGAATCAAACCACCTAAACCCACCTGATTAGCTCCAGAGTTATGTTTGAGAGATCGTGGGAATTAGTTTTATGAGTTTCCGGAGTCTTAGAGAGAAGAAGAGTCACCTATTCTAGATAAGCATTAATGTTCACTTATGACTGCTCTTCTGAAAAAGCATGATTTACTTGGTGATTTTCTATCAAATGTCTTAAAGCTTGTGGTACCAGTCAAGTACGGAACTGACTAGATCAAATTTCTCATTTACTTGCTGAAAACTGTAAATATATGTGGATGGAGCTTTATTGTGGTGTGCTATTTTATAAAAAGAATCGTGGCTTTTTTGCAGGAAAAAATTGCTATGCTTAGAGAAAATGAGTATTTGGTGAAAGAAAAAGACAAGCTGAAACATGAAAAGCAGTCCTTGCTTAGGAGTAAAGATATGGCAGAGGCCCAAGTCACAGTAGTGACAAAATCTTTGGAGGCATTGCAGAAGGAAATGAAGGACAAGGAGATTCTGGTAGTTTCTTTGTTATGTTTTATGTTTTACAAGATTTTCCTGTGTAGCATGTACATACCTCATACTTGAATGATGTACTTTAGGTTCAAACCTTGAAGCAATCTCTAGATAGGCAAAGACAAGAATTGAATGAATGCAGAGCTGAAATAACTTCATTAAAAATGCATATAGAGGGTGCTCGTTCTGCGCGTAATTTTGTAACAAGCGATTCTGAAGATGTTGCGAACCTGCCATCAATAGATAGTTATAAGGAAGAGATGAAGTTCCTACAGAATGAGATCCAGAGGTTGAAATTGGCAAATGATTCCTTGAACAGTGAGTCTCTTGAAGATAACAATGAAGAAACTAGAAATACAGGTCCTGAAAATGAAGTTGGAGAATCAAGTGAGCATAATGTCTTTGACGATTCAGCTGGCATCTCTTCTGGGGATTTAGGAAATGCCAATTCTCAGTTATTGATGGCTCAAACCTCTGCTGACACAATTACCAAACCTGAGGAAGTAGTGGAAGCTTCAAATGATAACGGCATTGTTGAGAAAGTCGAGAATGTACTCGCACACAATGGTGAGCTACCTTCAGAGGCTAAAGGACTAATCTTGAAACCAGACAATTTATTTGTCGAATCAAATGCTGAAAAGATCGTAAGCTCTCTCTCATATGTATACATGATGGCTTTTGCTTGGTAACGTTTTCGCTTGGCAATTATACGTCAAACTTTTTGGATTTCGCAGGGTTTGGGGACTATTCAGATCCTTTCAGATGCATTGCCAAAAATTGTACCTTATGTTTTGATCAACCACAGAGAGGTGTGTTTTGCCATTTGTTATTATTCAAAATCATGCTTCTGAAGTCTGATGTTCTTATCTTATTTAGGAGGCTTTTGTTTGAGAAAATCTTTTCAAGTTTTGAAACTTTTCTTGACAAACATGATCTTAAAAAGTTTTTTCAAAGGCGTTTTCAAATGAAGAAGTGCTTGAAGGGTGCTTTTCATTGAAAACTCTCTTTCCACTGACAAAACACTTAAAAATCTTCAAAAAAGCTACAACTATCCCAATATATCTTCGGCTTCCACGAACTTTTCTTTTTCAAACCTTTTTCAAAATGTTGTTTCAATGGCTTCCAAAATATTCTTCAGCAACCTTGAGGGATCTGCAAATCTTTTTGTCTAATTAGCTGTCATTCCACTTGATTGGTGTTGTCTCTGCAGGAGCTTCTTCCTCTTATAATGTGTGCAATTGAGCGCCACCCAGATAGCAGTACGCGGGACTCCTTGACTCATACATTATTCAACTTAATCAAACGTCCTGATGAAGAACAGAGACGGATTATAATGGATGTAAGATTGTCAAAACTATTAATTCATAATGGATTTTTTTTCTTAAAGTTGAGCATGCCACCAATTTTGTTATCACGTTTAGGCTTGTGTCACCCTTGCCAGAAATGTTGGAGAGATGAGAACGGAAACTGAACTTCTTCCTCAGTGTTGGGAACAGGTGAATTATTATATATGCTGGATGCTCTCATGATTTTACCATATTTTCCATCAACTCTTGCAACTGCTCTTACTGTTATATTGTGAAATGTAGATCAATCACATGTATGAGGAGCGCCGCTTGCTAGTTGCTCAATCATGTGGAGAGCTTGCTGAATTCGTGCGCCCTGAGATTCGAGATTCTCTTATCTTGTCTATTGTGCAACAGCTGATCGAGGATCCTGCAACTGTTGTTCGGGAGGCTGCTGCTCATAACTTGGCATTGCTTCTGCCTCTCTTCCCAAATACGGACAAATATTTCAAGGTCAGCTTCACTACATAAGCTTCGAGGCAATCACGGAGAAGAAATCTGACTTGACAGAATTTCCTACAAAGTAAGCTCCGTGGTCTAGGAAGGGAGCATTTTCTGCTGGTCTTAGTGTGATTGCCGAAACTGATTAAATGATAAGATAAACATAATTGGAAGTTCTCCAATTCCTCTTTTTTTTTTGTGTGTGTGTGTACAGGTTGAGGAGATGATGTTTCAATTGGCGTGTGATCCATCTGGAGTGGTTGTGGATACAACAATCAAGGAAGTTGTTCCAGCTTTAGTAAACTGGGGAAAGGAGTTGGATCATTTGCTACAAGTTTTATTATCTCATGCATTGGGCTCTGGTCAGGTATGTATTCTACATTTATTTTGTTTCTCACTGAAGTAGTAACTTGCCTTAGACATGGATCTGATACATATATTTTTTTCCCAGCGTTGTCAACCTCTTTCAGGGGTTAAAGGTTCTGTTGAGTCACATCTTCGTGCTTTAGGAGAGAGAGAGCGGTGGAACATAGACGTTTTGTTGCGCTTACTAATAGAGTTGCTTCCATTTGTGCTCAAGAAAGCTATTGAGACCTGTCCATTCCCTTTGATTTCAGATGACAAAGGACTAGTTTTTTCTACTTCACTACTTGAACAGTATGCAGGGTAATATTCCCTTTTGCCTGCGTTTTTAACCTACCTTTCTATACTTTCTTCTGCAAAGGTACTCTCATGTGTAGCTAATACTTGCTACATATTTGAATTGTATGTGCAGAGGAAAGATGGATTGGCCTTCTTTTGAGTGGTTGCATATTGATTGCTTTTCAGCATTGATTGAACTGGCCTCTCTATTGCCTCAGAAGGAAGATAATTTAAGGAATCGAATCACACAGGTAGCTTGAATTGTTTGACATGAGTTTTGGTGGTTTAGGTTTGAAAATGCGTTCTTGTTTCCCGAATTCGTCTTTAATTTGGCAATGCAGTTTTTATTGGCCGTTTCAGTCCTGCTTGGGGAACCTTACCTGACACACATCATGCTACCTATATTCTTGGTAGCAGTTGGTGACAATGGTGATTTATCATACTTCCCTGCAACACGCCAATCAAGAATAAGAGGTAATGAGTTAAAAACTTTCTGATTATTAACCTTTAAGTCATACATCATGTTCAAACCTTTTCAAATTGGTGTTGATTTACTCTTCAACAGGTTTAAAACCAAAAACTGCTGTAGCTGAAAGACTTGCTGCCATCTGCGTCCTGCCTCTTCTGCTTGCAGGTGTTTTAGGATCCCCTAGAAAGCATGAACTATTGACAGAGTACTTGAGAAATCTCTTGATTCAAACTTCAGAGCGAGAGAGTCAGCCAGTGAAGCGCGAGATTTTCAATTCTGTTCGCTTCCTTTGGTTTGTGCCATTTAACAAGTTAATCATTACAGTCCTGTGTCTGAACTCCTTAGATGATGGCTAGACTCTCTTTTCCTGCAGCACCATTGATGAACATCACAATATGATTTTTAACATCCTCTGGGAAATGGTTGTGAGCTCTGACATAAACATGAAGACAACCGCTGCCAATCTTTTTAAAGTCATTGTAAGTCCTTTGGTTTTTCTTGGGATTATGTCAATTCCTGTCTTTCTCAAAAAAAATATAATAATAATTTAAGCGTTGTCGTAACATTCTTTGTACCATATTTGAAACTTCACCAGGTTCCATGTATTGATGCCAAGGTCGCCTCAACTCATGTTTTGCCTGCTCTAGTAACTCTTGGTTCTGACCAAAACTTGAATGTGAAATACGCCAGCATTGATGCTTTTGGAGCTGTAGCACAGCAGTTTAAAAATGATGCGGTATGGAAAGGTTTCTTTTTAAATATCTGGTGTCATTCTTATTCTATGTTGATCTATAGAGGCTTTGATGAGACCGGCTCTTCTAACCGTCTTGTTAGATTGTTGACAAAATACGTGTTCAAATGGATGCTTTTCTTGAGGATGGATCACATGAAGCTACAATAGCTGTAGTTCGTGCATTGGTGATGGCAGTGCCACATACGACGGAGAGATTAAGAGATTATATCCTCAATCTTTTACTTCAGCTTTTATGCACTCTTGAAGTAGATACATTCTTATAACGTGTGCCAAAGCACTAGTTCAATTTCTATTTCTCATTAGCTTTCTTTAACTTATGATACATCTGTTGTCCAAGATTTTCCTACTTACAGCAACACCTCCTCCTTCAAGTGACGTGAGACGTCGCCGTGAGAGAGCGGACGCGTTTTGTGAATCAATTCGTGCTCTTGATGCTACTGGTTTGCTCCTTTTAGATATTCTTCTCTTCTTCTCCTTCATAACTCTCTTTACTTTCTGTTGGTATATGTTTATTCGAGATGATTGCCTCTAGGTTAGCTGCTTTGAAAGATGTAGCAAAGTACGAAAAAATATGTAACACGATGGACTGATACTGGGGGTTAATTTTCTGATATATTTGTTGTAAACTACCTTTATCTTTAGTGGTTGATCAAAGTAGATCTTATGGAGTTTTGTGCCATCCAGAGGAATTACCTGACAAATGGCCCAATTTGTACCTAAATACACGCTGAAGTAAAAAAGCGATAGGTTGTAATTTATTAGGTTTAGCGTGATTCATTTTCTTGTTCATGTCAATAGCAAGTGCATGACAGACATGTCCTAAGATAGTTAAGTGAAACCTAGGAAACTCTCAAATGAGTGAAAGAGACCTCCAGTTACCTTCCGGACCTAAGGAGGGTTGATAGAAATATGACTCCAAAGAACTTCTGAAAAATTGAATGATATTTGATTTCTATAGATACTCGGACTGTCTCTACCGAACTAAGTCTGCCAGCACCCTGAAAACTAAACACAGGAAAGGAGAAACAAAGTGAAAGAAGAAGAAACACCGAAGCATTCAATATATAATCTCTCTGTGGTTTAACTGATGTATCTAATGTCAGAGATGATATGCGGAAGGTCTAAGGACAAGTTCTCCTATTGATCTCTCTTCCTCTGGTTGCCTATTGTATAGTCTTTGACATACAAAATGTAACTACATGTGCTATCAAAGCCTAAATTTTGCACTCTGTGACTTTGTCCTGCTTTTCATCCCCTGTATCTTAGCATTTTACATGACCTTTTCATTAGAATCTTCCTATGCTCAGTTTATGATTGTTTTATTGCAGATCTTTCTGCTTCTAGTGTCAGAGATTTCCTTCTACCGGCAATTCAAAATCTGTTAAAAGATGCTGATTCCCTTGATCCAGCACACAAAGAAGCTCTGGAGATTATAATGAGGGAAAGATCTGGTGGCACGTTTGATACGATTAGTAAGGTAATGGGTGCTCATCTGGGAATTGCATCATCAGTAAGCAGCTTCTTTGGTGAAGGTGGTTTATTAGGGAAAAGGGAAACTGGAGATGCGTCTCCACCATCAGTGGAAGTTGTTGAACCTCTGAAGCCCATTGCACCAACTGCAGCAGTGGTAGAAGACACACGATTTAGGCGGATCATGAGAGGTGGTTTTTCGGACATGCTCAGGGGAAAAGCAAAGGGCACCGAGGATACTCCCCCAAGTCAATGATTATGGCTCTTTCCTTTTGCAGGGAAGTAAAAATGGAAAGAAGTTTTTTGTATGTTGTGCAGTAGACTACATTGTCCATTTTTTGATTTTTCACTTAAGCTTTCCCATTATCTGGATGAGATTTTGCAATTTATTTCATTCTTTATATCCAAGAAATGTAATGAATTTGCCAACAGTAGAAGAAAACGTTTACATATCCTTAGCTTTACAAATGATATAGGAGATTTACTGGTCTAGCATTTTTCCGAGCACGAATCTTATCAAATAACTCCTGCTCCTCGATTCTCCCAGAGCCCCGAATTGAATTTATTCTCTGATGAATAAGGAGAACCACATATGAAAGGTTTGTCCTAATTTGCTTTCGGGGTAAATATTTTCCTGCACAGAGTGTTTACACCAACTCAATCTATTACTCCAGTGTCCATTTCATTAAAACATGCGGTACATGATGTCCTTTGGATGGGACATCCTTCTCACACCTAAATCAAAGTCTAATAGTTTGAGTTATAAAGTGAACTTTGTCAGTAAATTCACAATAATAGTATTAAAGGTTCACGGTAGCCAAATACTAGTGACTAAGGAGTCTGCAGCTGCAACCAATAGGACAACAGAATGTGAACTATCTCGCTTATTTTCTCAGTTTGAAAAATAGAAAATCCACCCATGAGAAAATGTACAAGTAATACTTCCGTAATCTGCGTAGAGTTTTCCGCGATATCGTCATATCACTCTAATGTATTCGCGTTTCTTCCTCTTGAGAAAATCAGGTGAATAGAATTAACTATCCGATTTGATTACTAAATTTTGTATTAAATCCATTCAAAAATTATAATAATGTTGGGTAATTATGGAGCAGATTAATTTTAAGCAATAATAATTTTAATGTGAGCAATATCTTTAAAGGAGTGCTTAACATAAAAACAAGAGTAGCATTATTCAAATGGAATATAGCTTTAAACAGACAAATGATGTTTAAGAGGAAACATGATTCATTTCACACTTGCTCAAAGAAATCACCTATCCTAGTAGGGTTCATTAGTTTATGACGAGGCTTGTTATGTCCCTACAATTTCGGAACTTCGGCTTAAACAGGAATCCAATTTGGTAGGCTTCTAGGTAACATATAACACCAGTGCACAACTATATATATATATATATACAACCGCGTTAGGCACGTAAAAAAGTTATTTGCACAAATCGAGTTGAGTTCTCATGTCGAGCTGTAGTTCAGCTTTAGAAGTTGTAAGACATAGAAGAACAGGAGCAGTACTGTTCTACAAGAAACCTCGTCCCCCTTTCAAGAACGATCCTCTTGTTGATTTCCCAACTTTACCAAAAGTTGAGGGTATAATAAAGAATCTGCAGCGGACAGATATGAAGAATAACGTGACAGAAACTAAAGAACATAGAATGGCGGCTGATGAACATGTGTTGTTCTATTTCGGAAATGATTATGGATTTCAACACCCCTTACAAATCTTGAATAAAATGATTCCTTCATACAAAGCAAAATCTAAATTTTCGGCCCAAGAGGAACGTTTAAGCGAAGATGTCTTCACCTTGTCGTCTCTAGAAGATATGCTCGATGAGTTTCAGCAAAAAGATCTTTTTTGATTATTGTTACTTAAATTTAGAGGCCAATCCTGGATCTAGGATTCACAATAATGTTATCTTGATTTTTTTTATTTTTTAATTGCCTATGCATACATAATTTGTCGTTTAGCTGATTCCAACTTGCTTGGGATAAAAACGTGATTGTTGTAATTATTGTATGCATACATAATTTAAGCAGAAAGTGATTTCAGTTGAACCCATGGTCTTATTTTCATTCTTGTTATTATCACTAATTAATTGTTTCTGTGTAGAATCCAGTTATCAGTGTAGATTATTTGCACCTTCGCTTGGTAGAAAGCTGGCCATTAAGCTACATTGTGCAAATTTAAGAATATGTTTCCTGTATTGGAGAAAATGTTCCCAAAAAAATTTGGTTCATGTTGTAACGGATAGTTTTCTTCAGCCAAATTTCAGCAAGTTAGAACTCTTTTACGCCAACTAATTTAGGATTTTAAATAGATACATAATCTCTTCTAAAGCTTAAAAACAAAAAACAAAACTATTCATCATAACATTAAATGGAAATGCATTCCCCTTTTTCCCCTTAAACTTTAAAAGACACTTATTGACTAACTAATTTATTGATAGGAAAGATATATGATGTTTTACAATTTAAAAGACATGATAACAAACATAATCAGAGTTTAGTAAGGTGATCCATCCCAAGAATTTCTAGGTCACTTAAAAGCCGTATTCCATATGAAAGGGCGACCCCAGACAGCATATCGCCCATTAGAGAGAGAGAGAGAGAGAGAGAGAGAGAGAGAGAGAGAGAGAGAGAGAGAGATTCCATGTTTTTTTGGATGAAGCCAAACTCATTGAAAACATCTTGTGTTGTGTAAGTCTCTGGTAAGTTAGTAATCTTTGCTATGATTTTATTAATTGGAAGAATTCTTACGGTTTTACTTGTATTCACATATAGTACATACTAAAGTTTCTTAATGATTGAAAAGGAAGAAAAATAAGTTATGGATAGAATAATGATCTAAAAACACGATTCATTATAAATTAACTAATTTTACCCATAATTTTTCTTCTTTATCCAGATTTAAAACCAGCAACATTCCTCTGTTGCTGGGACACGGGTATCGACATCCTATAGAGTGTAGATCTAAAATCAAATTCTTATTACCTGTATCTTAGAATTCGGGAATACGTATAGAAGTATGACTATTTGTGTTAAGATACAATCAATACGACACATTTAAGTATATATTGTGATAAATATTTGAAGGTATAAAATTAGTAGTAGTACAATTAAACTGATCTTTGTATACACTTACATTTTATTTACAAGTTATTTCGTATAATGCGACGCGTTCTAGTACTAATGAGAATATATATAGGACATATATATACCCAAAATAATTAAATACCCAATCAACATATACGACTATACTTGTTGAATATATCTGTAATTAAAGTAAAGTAAGGTCGACTAAATCCATACTCAAATCGTGTACAAGGGGGCGGATCGGATTTGAGCAACAAAACACCAGTAAGTATATATGTAAAACTATATAATACCCCATTGGCCATGTAAAAAGGTAATTTACATATCTTCTCCTAATGGCAACTCAAACTCCAACTTTAGGAGTTGTTAGACAGAGAAGGACGGGAGCAGTGCTTTTCTTCAAGAAACGTCATCTCCCATTCAAGAACGATCCGCCACTTGAATTCCCAAGTTATTTACCAGATCAGAACAATCCTCAGTTCAAAAGTTTATCGGCGGCAAAAGTTGAGGAGAATATCAAGAATCTGCGGCTGACATATTTTGCCGCCGCGAACAATAAATTGACAGAAACTACAGAACATGTGGCGGCTACTGAATTTCGAAGTGCTAATAAATGTGTGTCGTTTGATTTCGGGAATGATTATGGATTTTGGGAGGTCTATAAAATTTTGGAGAAAAAGATACCGCCAAATTGTCCATACAAAAATTCCAAGTTGTTTGAGGAAGTGTCGCCACGTTTAAGCGACTCAGTAGCAATGATTAAAGATGCAAAAAGTTTAAGTGATGACGTTTTCAAGTTATCGTCCCAAGAAGACATGATCGATGAGTTTTTAAAAAGCAGTCTTTTTTAATTCGTAATTTATACTTATGTTTCATGTTCTTGTTAGTATCAGTAATAAACTAATTGTTTATGTTTTGAATACTGTATTGTGAATGTGCATGTTTTGTTTCTTCTTCATTCTTAAAGGCTTTGTGAAATGTTTGCCGCACAATCTGGTCTAAACTCAATAGGTAGAAGACTTCAGTCGACATACATTTTGGTTATACTAGTCTCGCGACATACATTTTGGTTATGCGACATACATTTTGGTTATACTAGTCTCGCGGCACGTGCAATAATGTGGTGGCTGATAATGGTAAGAGAGGGAGAGACAACGCGCGCGAGAGAGAATGCTACCTTAAAAATCAACATTGTCAACGACCCTCACTGCTACTAACTTTTAGAGTGTGTATTATTAAAGGAACAATTTTTACAACAACATATGTTAACATGCAAAGAATCGATCAAAATCACATAAAGTTTATCGTTGTTTCAAGGTGGATGAAAGTCGGTTGAGAGAGAATATCTAGAAGCTTCTTTTATTATTGAAAAAGAATGTACAAAACTACTACTGAATAGAGCTAATTGTCTCTATTTATACAATGGACCTGGCCCGAGACTATTAATCATAGAAAATTACATTGGGCTCTCTAATATATTGGTACATAAATAAGATATGCTACTACACTATAATGGGCCTCGATCAACTGGTTTGAATTTGGGCTTCCGACTGGAGATCATTACGTCAACACCTCCCGCAAGTTGGACGGGGATACAACGCCCAACTTGGACATCAACCCATGATGGATACCACTAGTGAGGGGCTTGGTGAACAAGTCGAGCCGTAGTAGGCACATGAAACAACTGAATGTCCCCAGCAGCAAGTTTGGTACGGACAAAGTGGCAGTCCACTTCTATGTGTATAGTGCGTTCATGGAAAACAGGATTGCGAGCAATGTGAATAGCTGCCTGATTATCACAAAAAGCAGGCACAGGAGAAGCAACAAAGACATGCAGATCATCAAGCAAGCGGGCAACCTAAGCAAGCTCTGCAACAACTTTACTAACAGCACTGTATTCGGCTTCTGCGGAAGAAAGTGAAACTACTGGTTGCTTCTTAGACTTCCAACCAATGAGGGAACCCCCCAAGAAAATGCTAAAACCAGTAACGGATCTTCGTGTGTCAGGGCAAGTTGCCCAATCACTATCACAATAGGCAGTTAGGGACAAATCAGAAGAGTCTTCAAAGAAAACCCCCATGTCATATGTGCCTTTCAAATACCTCAGAATATGAAGAGCAACAACCATATGAGGAAGCCTCGGAGATTGAAGAAACTGGCTTAAGTGCTGGACTGCAAAGCACAAGTCAGGTCTGATGTGTGTAAGGAAATTGAGCTTTCCAATCAAACTCCGAAACTGTTCAAGTTTAGGTAACAGATCACCAACACCAGCCTTAAGTTTTTGAGTGAGATCCAAAGGAGAGACAACATGGGCAGCCTCAGAACTGAACAGAGATAACCTTATGTTGATGGAGAAGTAAACCAGAAGGGAAATAGGTCACTTAAATGCCCAGGAAATAATTCAAGGTACCCAAGTCCTTGATCTTAAAATAACCATCCAAAAAGGCTTTTAAAGCAAGTATCTCAGCCTCATCATCACCCGTTAAAATAATATCAACAACACAGACAACCAACAACATAATAAAAGAGACATATTTTTTGAAAAATAGAGAATAGTCATTCAAAGAATGTGTTTAACCCCTAGAGCACAAGGCAAGATACAACTTAGCATACCACTGCCGAGAAGCCTGCCTAAGCCCATATAAAGATTTTTGAAGCTTGCATACCAAAGGAGAGGAAGAAGAAGAAGAAGAAGAAACAGACAAACCAGGAGGCAATTTCACGTAGACCTCCTCATCTAGATTACCATGCAAGAAAGCATTATTCACATCAAGTTGGAAAAGAGACCACCTCTTCTTAACTGCCACAACCACCAGACATTTAACAGTGGAAAATTTAATAACAGGAGAGAAGGTTCAGTAAAATCCACTCCCTCTACTTGAGTATATCCTCTTACCACTAACCTACCTTTATATCTTTCAACACTACCATCAGCTCGATATTTGATTTTATATACCCATTTGCAGCCAATAGGTTTTTTACCTTCAGGTAATTCAACAATCATCCAAGTATTGTTGGCTTCAAGAGCCTCAAACTCCTTTTTCATGGTTTCTTGCCAAGCTGGAATTGAAACAACTTGATGATAGAATTGAGGCTCAATGGCAGCACTATTAGCAAAATACTGTACTATAGAGGATAAAGAACTGGAGCTAGCCAAGGAGGGAGGAAAGTCACAAACAAAGTCTGCAAGATGAGCAGGAGGCTGATGAGTTCTAGCAGATTTTATAGTAGGTTGGATAAGGGGAGAAGGTGTCTGGACATGAGGAGCAACTAAGGTAGAGGAAATAAGAGAGGGAATAGAAGCAGAAGGAGAACTTGGAGAATCATAATGAGCAGGGGAAGAATTAGAAGGAGAGAAGTGAACATGAGAAGAGAAAATAGGAGGTGAAGGACCAAGAGAGGAAAGTGTAGAAGCATCAAAAGGAAAGAGGTGTTCATGGAATATGACATCCCTGGAAACAAAGACTTGCCTAGTAGAAAGGTTAAACAACTTGTAGCCTTTCTTACCAAGAGGGTACCTAAGGAAGACACAGGGTTCGACCCTAGCTTGCAACTTATTCTTATGACATTTGGGAATAGTATGAAAACAGAGACAGCCAAATGTTCTGATATGTGAGTAGGAAGGGGGAGTACCATAGAGTAGTTCAAAAGGAGATTTATTCTGGAGGAGCTTGGAAGGAAACCTATTGATAAGATAGGTAGAAGTGAGGACACACTCCCCCCAAAATTTGAGAGGTAATTTGGACTGAAAAAAGTAGGCCCCTAGAAGTTTCAAGCAGATATTTATACTTCCTTTCAACTACACCATTCTGCTGAGGTGTATGTGAGCAACTAATTTGATGTATTATCCCCTGATCCCTAAACAATTGAGTAGCAAGATTACTGGAACCAAGTTCTAATGCATTGTCACTCCTAACAGATTGAACTTTGGTAGAAAATTGGGTATGGACCAATGCAATAAGTGCTTTAAGCAAGGGGAATGCATTGTTTTTAGAACCCATAAGATGTGTCCAAGTTGCTCTAGAGAAGTCATCAACTATAGTAAGAAAGTATTTAAAGCCATTGTAGGTGGGAGTAGAGTAAGGTCCCCCCCATGTGTCAACATGAATCAGTTGAAATGGATGGGATGACTTAATGCTACTATCAGGGAAAAGAAGTCGGGACTGTCTAGCCATAGGACAAATAGAACAAACAAATGATTGCTTTGAAGAGAAAACATAAGGGATACCAGAAATGTCTCTTAGTCTAACAAAAGGAATGTGACCAAATCTTTGATGCCATAACATTTCCTCTTTATTGATGCCAGAATGATTTTTACAATGCATGGTAGATGGAATGCATATAGAGGAAGAATCAGAAACAATAAATGGGCATTTACAACGTGAAACAACACTGGAAACAGAAGGTAAACTATCAGATACTGAAGTGTAGCAGTGTGAAGCAGAATTACTACACTGAGGAGGAGTCATCAGAAGCCTGTAAAGTCCATGTTCCAATTTACTAACTTCCAGTGGACTCTTCAGTGAAGGGGCCTGTAGGATACATGAAAGTGAAGTAAATTGAACCATGCCATGAAGTTGAATGACTAACTGAGAAACAAAAATAAGATTGTAGTGAAAAGTGGAAACATAAAGGACATGATGCAAAGTAAAAGCAAATAATTTAAGAGAACCTGTGCAATTTACTTTCACCTTATAACCATTGGGAAGGGTAACAAGATAAGGAATAACTAGAGGTTGGATGTTAGAAAGAAGGTCTTTGTGTGAAGTCATGTGATGTGTGGCTCCAGAATCTAAAATCCAACTATATTCAGCTACCCTACTTAACAGAGATGCACTGTAACGCACTTCTACACAAGCAGTCAAAGGAACATTACCAGCAAAATTTGTAGATGCCATAAGATTTGTATGAGAAGAAGGAGATTCAGACACAAGAGTGTGTTGCAACATAGACATGAGCTGAACATACTGCTCCTTAGTAAGTCCAGGTACCAGAGAACCACCCTCATTCTGATTAGGAGGTGCAGAGGCATGTGACTCATTGCTAGAGGATATGTCAACCTCAACATTTGCAGCCATCTTCCTACCATTAGTGAACTTGAAAGCAGGTGGGAATCCATGCAACTTATAGCACTTTTCAATTAAATGACCACTCTTCTTACAATATTTGCAAAACTGAGTTGCTCTACTTGAATCAAAAGATACTTTTTGAGAGTAGTGCTTTTGAGGTTGTAATGGTCAAGAATGGTTAAGGGATGTTACATTGAAAGAAGTCGACTCGGGATTGAATTGAGAGGAAGGATTGATCTGCCTTTGTCTCTCATCCTGAAGGAGAATGTTATATGCACTGTCCAAGGAAGGAGGTGGCTGCATCATAAGAAGATTACTCCTGACACTGATATAAGTGTCATTCAGACCCATGAGAAACTGATGCAGCCTATCCTCTTCCTCCTCTTTCTGGATACCAGCCTTAACAGCAGAGGTACAAGTGCTACCATGACAAGTGCGCATGACTCTTAGTTCATCCCATAACTTCTTCAACTTGTTGAAATAAGAGGCAATGTCGAGAGAACCCTGGTTAGTGGAGGCTAGTTCCTTCTTAATCTCAAAAACCTTAGTCCCATTTATAGTCTCATATCTTCTATTTAATTGTTTCCATATGTCTTCAGCTGTCTCAGAGTACTGAACACTCTCAGCAATACTGAAAGACAAAGAGCTAGTTAACCAGAAAATTACTTTGTTATTACATCTATCCCAATGCTTAGACTCAGGTGAATTAGGGGAAGGTCTAGGCAAGGTACCATCGATGAATTCAATTTTATTTCTACCAGACAATGACACAATAATGCTCCTTCTCCATCCTCCAAAACCAGATCCTGAGAAAGGTACAGGAACTAAGGAAAGACCAGGTATATCGGAAGAGTGAAGAAAAATAGGACTTGAGGGCTTAGGGATAAATTCAGACTGTTCACGACAACCAGAGGTACTGCTGATATCATTATCAGTCGGAGCCATGAAAAAATAGGCGATTAACACAAAACATCACACACCCAAACCCTAGCACGCAAAATCAGAGAGAAAAGAACAAAATTACCGGAGTTTTCGCAACCGGAAAACACGGCCTTCTAGAGTGAAGAATACACAACAATTGACTTTAGCAATTACGAGCTCCTTCAAACAGCGAGAGAAACCCCCAAAACAGCAAAATAACCATATTCAGAGACCAAAAAAAACCCAGTCAAAACAGGAGCGGGTAATACCGGAGAGGAGAGGACAACGAGATCAAGCAAGATCGCTGCTCTGATACCATGTTAACATGCAAAGAATCAATCAAAATCACATAAAGTTTATCATTGTTTCAAGGTGGAAGAAGGTCGGTTGAGAGAGAATATCTGGAAGCTTCTTTCATTATTGAAAAAGAATGTACAAAACTACTAATGAATAGAGCTAATTGTCTCTATTTATACAATGGGCCTGACCCGAGGCTATTCATCAGAGAAAATTATATTGGGCTCTCTAATATATTGGTACATAAATAAGACATGCTACTATACTATAATGGGCATCGATAAACTGGTTTGAATTTGAGCTTCCGGCTAGAGATCATTACGTCAACAACATATAGATTTAGATTTTGTTTAACATTTTGTGTATATAATATTTAATATTTTATTTTTATTTGACTTTTTATATATTTTAGATTTTTAATAAAGATACATCATACACATATGCTAAACAGTCTTAATTATTTATTACTAAAATCTAGACATGATATCTTTATTATTATCAAGTTTGTCATGATCTTAAGGTTAAATAAACGAGGCATGGAGTCGTGGCGGGGTGGAATAAAAAGAAACAAAAAACAGAAAAGAAAAAAGAAAAACAAAGGAGGCTTAAATGGAAAGAATAATATGTTAGGAAAATCTCCAATTTTCTTTGCTGGATAATCGGAATGACCAAACTCTTTAGAAAACATCTTGTACAGTGTACTTTCTGGTAATTAGTATTTAGTAATCTTTGTTAAAATTCTCTTAATTGGTAGAATTGTTAATTGTTTTTACTTTTTATTTACATACTACTTCTGGTACAAACTAAAATATATTAACGAGAAAAAAAGGAAAAAAATACATAATAAAGAGAATTAAGGATCTAAAAAGAGGATGCATCCTAAATTAAGTTTTACCCGTGACTCTTTCTTTAATCTCCGCTAAGAACAGACGTTGTACGTAAAAGTAAGCCCTCAACTAGCTTATGATTGGGATGTACTTCTTGTTGTTATATCTAGAAAAGAAAACACTAATAACACACAATTTGATGCTTATATGTGTAAGATCGATCATGAAATACTGTGAAGACATATTTCCAATATTCAGTTACAACACAAAAGATTGATGCATTTTATGCTTTAAAAAAAGGATTGACACTTTGCCATTTTATTTTATTTTTTGGAGAAAACACTCAAATTTTGGATGCCCTATATTAACAAAAGCGAAATATGTACATAAGAGAGAGGATTGAAGCCTGTTCATGTGTTAAAGTTTTTATTAATTAAATACTGTTATAAAATAAAAGCAATTTAGTAAAACATGAAGACATGTTATGAAATAAAAGTAATTTAGCAAAACATGAACAAGAAATAGAGATAGAGAGAAGGAAGAGATTTTCTTCTTCAATTGTGTGTATTTTCTTATCTATTACAAGGCCTTTATATAGACATGAAAAGTGAAGAAAAATATGTCATTGAATATGTCATTAAGCATAGAAATATGTCATTGAATATGTCATTAAGCATTTGAGAAGATCATGGAGCAAGAGTAGACATCCAACATAATTTGATTTGTCTTATAACACTCCCCCTTGGATGTCCATAGATAATGTGACTCGTTAAAACTTTATTAGGAAAAAACCCTATGGGAAAAAAATCCCAGTGAAGGAAAAAGAGTACACATGTTTAGAAATACGCCTTTTGGTTGCCTCGTTAAAAACCTTGCAAGGAAAACCCAGTGGGACAAAACCTTGCAAGGAAAAAAGAGTACAATGCGTATTAACTCCCCCTGATGAGAGCATCAATTCACATCCTTGAGCCTTCGCATCCCAATCTTGTACACTAGTTTCTTGAAGGTTGACGTCGGTAGAGATTTGGTGAACAGATCAGCCATATTATTACTTGAACGGATCTGTTGCACATTGATATCACCATTCTTTT